CGTCAAATAGAACTGCCCGGTAAACCGTAGGCAGAGAGGGAGAAGAGGACAACAAACGAGGGGCTGTGACAAACTGTTTCGTCGGATATATATATTGTCACAGCCCCTCGTTTGTTGTCCTCTTCTCCCTCTCTGCCTACGGTTTACCGGGCAGTTCTATTTGACGATATATATATATATATATATATATACTTCGCAAACTTCGGACTTCGGCTTTGCAGAAGAAGAAAGAAGAAGATAGTAAGCATGGTCATCATCATCATCGCCGTCGTCGTCGTCATCATCGTCATGATCATCATCATCATCATCATCATCATCATCATCATCGTCATCGTCATCGTCATCGCCATCGCCGTCGTCGTCATCATCATCATCACCATCATCATTATCATCATCATCATCATCATTATCATCATCACCATCATCATCATCATCATCGCCGTCGTCGTCGCCATCGCGGTCGTCGTCGTCGTCATCGTCGTCACCATCATCGTGATGTCATCCTTAGTTGGCGTCGTCGTCATCGTCGTCACCATCATCATGATGTCATCCTCCATCATCATCATCATCATCATCATCATCATCATCATCATCATCATCCACTGTCCATATCATCACCCATGCACCCGCTGGAGAACTTCGGGTGGTTTCCCGCCCGAACGTTAGAAAACGGGCGGCCGATCTGGGCCGCAGATCTCACCAAATCGACGACCCAGATAGGCCGCCAGTTTCTCAACAATTTGGCGGGCCTACCGGACCCGGTTGATTTTTTTTTGGGGCCGGGAGGCCTCCACAAACCGCATGGAGTCCTCCCGGCCCCAAAAAAAATTGTAACCCCCCCCCCAGCGAATTGCGCAAATTGCAACCGGGCGGGAGCCGGTGCTCTCCAGCGGCCGATACCACCGGCCCAGTTCCGGTGGGGGAAGGAGGCCCCGGTGGGACCGGATATTCAGCCATGAAATAAAGTATAAACTTTACTATAAAGTTAAAAAATCATATTTTTACTTTTTAAGTTTTTATTTTTTTTTGGCCCGGCCAGGCAAGTGGTTTCGGGCCACTCTGGTAGCTTAGGCGTGCGGGCTTCGTAGTGCCGAAGCTGACACTTCGTGAAGCTTGCTCCCACAACCTTTAGCCTTGTTAGGGTGTTGGGCAAGAATAGCAAATCTTGGGAGTGATGCTTTTGGCATGCTTCACTTTGCATTTCCGGTAGTTTCTAGCCGGAATGTCGCCTACTGAATGTGAACGTAGTGTTGAGTTTGTCGGCCATTCTTTTTTTGTTTGTTTTTTTGAACCACCACCCATAGAATCAAGAAAGAGCTCTCAATCTGTCAGTCCTTGCTATGTCTGGACTTGATGTCGTGATGACCTCGTGAGCCAGAGCAGACTCTTCTCATCTGGTCTTGCAGTTATTTGCCAGAGGAAGGTGTATGTAGAAACTTTGTCGTCGATGCAGTCAGAAGTATGTTTGTCACTTGACCCGCCTGGACAGTACAAATGTCCCCTTGTGGTGGGCGCTTGAACCCTCTTGCTTTCTGAATGCTGATTGTTGTGCCTTATTGCAGCCATGCCTTGGAGGAGACTCGAAGACTTTGATGTTCGTGAACATTGCTCCTGACAAGCATTCAGCAGCCGAGTCACTGTGCTCGCTCCGTTTTGCGGCAAAGGTTAACGCGTGTGAAATTGGTGTTCCCCGGCGGTATGCTCGGCTTGCCGAGGCCAGGAGAGAGAGCTAGCATTGCACGTGAGGGGCCCCAGATGCATTCGGGGAAAAGAATTCAAGCGCGTGTGAGTGACAGCACGGACCAGTAACCTGTGGGTACGTGCTATTCTGTGGTGCAGCCAGGTGACGGCCATCTCCAAACCGGGAGCCGAAAGTATACAATGCCCGCCGGACTCTGGCAATATCATGGCCATATTTTATCTACGCACATGAAATGCAATGAGAGCTGCGTGTAGGGTTCTCCACATGCTTGCTGTTCACAGTTCGGTGATGAGCTGGCGTGTGCAGAGAATAAAAGCAGCTCCTTGGGAGCCAGTCAGGAAGAGGATTAAATTGCAGTCCTGAAAGCATGCATTCATTACATTCCACGGGTACCTTAATTCCATCATCAAGTGCCCTCAACAAGCTAGGTGCCATAGCAGCCTATCGTCAGGTCGCTGGCTACCTCTTTGCCTTGGGTCGCTGTACAGCTGTCATGTGCTCTTTTACATCGTCTTCTGCAGGAATGCCATTCTTGTGTATCTTGTAAACAGATCAGAGTTAAACTATACTGTGATGTCTGGGTTTGATCTCTTGTGATATTCACCAGACATTATCAAGTGTTGCTTCAGTGAGGGCTTTTAAAGAATAATGAGAAGGGGAAGACTCCAGGAATGTTGGATGTGTCTCACTCCTTAGGAATGGGCTAACAGCTGGGCGACTACCAGAGCTAGTAGAGCATCATCTGCTCTCTTGTAGTGCCGCGCACTCTATGAATGTCATGCACTGCCACCACAAAGGCCATAAATTAACCGTACTTTCTTGGCTTTCCTGGAAACGCAGCCCCTGCCTTTTGAGGATGTGAACCGGCTGGCTGCAGTTTAGGGAAGAGGGGGGAGGGGGGGGGAAGGGGGGGGTTGACTGGTGTGGCCTAGGGGTGGCGTAATCAGAAGCGATGCCGATGCTTCCTTCTCTCGCTCTCCCTATGGCTGGAAGAAGAGCTGAGGGACTGCTGCTCCAGGGAACAAGCAGGGCGATGTTTGAAACCCAAAGAGATGCCGATGCAGCAGTTTCGGTGGCAAGGATCCTCCCGAGGTCTGAGGAGTCGGAGCCAAGCTCTGACAACGAGAGCGTTCAGAATGCAAAACTGGGAGGACGACATGTGGATCGAACAGGCCTTTTCTTTCTCAGCGTACACATTTGTTCTGTGAATTTAGGCTTGTGCCGCTCTTCACTGTGCCCATGCTTGGTTGACAATTCTTTTGCTGTCTGCCTTCCTCGCTCCTCCCCTTCTTCCTCCTCGTTGTGTTGTTGGCCCTCAATTAGCTCACGGCTGCTGCTTTTTTTAATTTTTTTCCCTTCTCGTTTTTTTAGCTCAAGGCTGCAAATTGAACGGGTTAAGGTCGGGAAGGCCAAGGGCACAATTCTTCGACGCAGGATCCAGAGCAGATGCTGTCGAGATCAAGATTCGCTCATTCAATGAATGGCTAAGAAAATGGCTCGCCAGCACGCATGGTGCGGAGCTGTTCCGAAGAGACTTTGCAAGCCGAATCGCTCCCCAGCACGCATGGTTTGGAGCTGTTTGAGGACAACTTTGCTGAGAAAATGGCTCGCCAGCACGCATGGCATGGAACTGTTCCGAGGAAAACTTTGCAAGCTGAACTGCTCCCCAGCACGCATGCTTTGGAGCTGTTTGAAGAGAGCTTTGCAAGCTGCCTGGTTGCCGCTCTCATAGAGGCATGATTCATAGCGAAGGGGTTTGGGGCGGGGGATGATGGAGGAGGGGTCGCGGAAGAATCGGGTGTGTATGATGATCAGCGTGATTGTTTTATGTGTGAAGAGGTGGCTTCTGAAATGAAAAGGGTCGTTTGTCATTCAACAAGAACGTTTAGTGAAGGCAGCTCTGCTGTCTCCCTTGTCTGCTGTCAAGGCCGCAGATTGCTAAATGTTAATGAAGAGGAGGGAGATTTTGTTTTGTATAATATGTCGAAGCAGGACCCCCTCTTCTGTCTGCCCATACTTGCTCTGTCCCGTGGGAAGTCGAGTGGCTTGTCCGGCTTCCACGTCCCCTCCCTACTTTGTTTATCTCCGTTTGCTCAGGAACATGCTCCCTGCAACTCGTTTGTGTGTTTTCGGGTAGAGAGTGTGCCTTGCACTAGTTCTAGACTTTGGTATCTGCTCGGGGTTTGGTTCTGGGACAAAACAAGTTCAACTGCAGCAAAGATGATTGCACAGTGGGGCTGGTGTGAGTAATTATGTTGGGTAGCTAGCGACATGAGTGGAGAATTCTGTGAGAGGGAGACCCTCTCCTGTCTGCCCGTACTTGCTCTGTCCCATGGGAAGTCGAGTGGCTTGTCCGGCTTCCACGTCCCCTGCCTACTGTATTTATCTGTGTTTGCTCAGGAACATGCTCCCTGCAACTCGTTTCTGTGTCCCCCCCCCCCCTTCCCCACTGCAAAAACTGAGCTATATTCTTCACTCAATATACCTCACACTACCTACCTAACCTCTAGGCCACACAATCTCTTATGTATTGGCAACATCCCAAGGAAACCAAGTGTTATGGGTTAGACCACTTGCCTGTTTAAGCCTATCCCCTTACGGCTGAACTTACCCCCTCAGGGTTGTTCCTAACCCTTAGCGACGGATGGAAGGGACCACAACTATCCGTCCCAACCCACTAGGGGCGTGGGCGTATTATTCGGGTGAGAAGACGGTAGTTCTGGACTTTGGCATCTGCTGGGTGTTTGGTTCTGGAACAGGGCAAGTTCAGCTGCAGTGAAAATGATTGCACAGTGGGGCTGGTATGAGTAATTAATAATTGTGTTGGGTAGCTAGTGACATGAGTGGACGATTCTGGGAAATCGGGATCCAATGAAATCACAAGATTCACTGAATCCTCCACACATGTCGCCAGCTACCCAACATAATTACTCACACCAGCCCTGATGTGCAATCACTTCTGCTGCAGCTGAACGTGCCTTGTCCCAGAACCAAACACCCAGCAGATGCCAATGTCGAGAACTAGTATAAGACGCACTCTCGTCTCGAAAACACAAAAGCGAGTTGCAAGGAACGTGTTCCTGAGCAGACAGAGATAAATATAGTTAAGGTATCCATTTTGACATGGGAGTGCACATTTCCGGGCACATTTCGGGGCACATTTCCGGGAAGCGTGCACATTTGCCTCCAGAGCTAGTCAACAGGTTCATTTGGCCATATGCCAGCAAGCAGCCTGATGATGAATAGAGAGTTCTTCACTATTGGAATTCGGCTGAGAGTGATGTGGGCACATAATTAAAAAGTGACTACAGGTACAGGAGCGGGCATGAGGATTTCGCATGGAGAAGCAAGTGTCGACGAGTTTGGATTGGCCTTGTTTGTTCTGTACACAAGTGGAGCCGTGGCTAACTCTAGGCTAGGTCCAGAACGTGGACAAGCTGGCGTGTTTGGGTTGATCATGGTTGTTGCATGACATTTGCAAGGTGGAAGTATGATCGATGGCCCTGTTTATCCTTGCACGGCAGCTGAAATGGCATATTCTCTGACTATGGTAATCTCTCTCTCTCTCTCTCTCTCTCTCTCTCTCTCTCTCTCTCTCTCTCTCTCTCTCTCTCTCTCTCTCTCTCTCT